CAGTTTGAATTTATGTTTACTTGTTCTGATTCGAATATCAACTGTATACATTGGGTAAACACTGGGGAATTTTAATACAGTATTCCATTTCACCAGGTGTATTTAAAACAACTTGCAGATATAATTAATTAAAGAAATGTTCCTGCGCTCAGTGTGGTAGACTGGACAAAACGTGGAAGAACTGAAATATTTGATAAATTGGAAAAACTGCTTTGTAATTTTTGGTATGAAATAATTGTGAATTGTGTAATTCAGAAGTTTTATAATATTCTTTGAAGTATTAGGCTTGGCATCGCGTCCGTAACAATAACTGGACACCCAGCAGAAAGGCTAAGCCACTTCACACTGTTTTGACTTCCTGTGGTTTAAAAGCGCGATGCGCATTGGTCGCATCAAGGCGAGTCGTGCACGTGCACGTGCCTTCCATAACGCGCATGTCCTCGGCAATGTAAACAACAGCTTTGACAACAGTCCGTTTCATTCCTGCAGTTGATGAGGGGTACTTAGGCTGGTGTAGTTTCGAGCTGTCAAAATTTCCTTTTAATACTTAAGAATGGCGAAGTTGAAAACGAAGCTGCTGATTTTAGCTGTACTAGGTGTCGTTTTAGCTATATTTTATCCGAAAATCAAATCGGCGTACGGAAAACATATAAAACCTCACGCAGATATAGCGGCAAACGTCGTGAAATTCATCAAGGATTTTCACATTTTTGGTTATCACATTCCGTGGAAATATGTTCTCCCTGGGTTTGCTTTGTTCCTGGCCGTGCAGTTATTTAGGGTGAGTATTATAGTTCAAACGTTTTCTTCGATCATGCTTCTAATTTTTAGATCGAATTTCAACAAACTTAAGCTTAACTTAGGCTTAATTTTTGTTTATTCCCAATCAGCAACTCAATTTAGCTCAGTAGTGAAAATTGTCTTTTTTTCTCCAAGAGTATTAAGCATCTGAGTTTATTGTGTTGACTTGCAAAAACGTTCCGAAACCGCTAATGGTTAAATCGCGATTTATTTGCATGACAGTTTTTTTAGGCCAGACACCTGTCACAAATCGTTTTGTTAAAGATTGTTTAAAGCAGTGAACGCAATTTTCACTGCGTTGTCAATTAAACTTCCCACATGAGGATTCTTTTTTTTCTTGGTAAAAATGCCTTTCCTGAAACCATATGGTAAAGATTACTTGCCAGATACAACTGGAAGGATTGTTTGGTTTCAATATAATGTTTACAAGCAGCAAATTGTTGTAAGCTGTTATTTTGAGACAGATGTGTACCTAGGGTGGGGTGGGTTGTGAAACTCTGGGCAGGAATTTCATCTTGCGTCTAATCAAAGAGTTTACTTTACCACTTGAGTTAAAAAGTTGGAATTGGAGAGTTCAAGAAATGTCCAAACATTGTTCAATATGTTTTGCTTCATACAAGAACCCTTATTTCCCTCTGTATTGCAAATGTAAATTTTCAGTGAATAATTTAGTAGTAACCTGAATTTACAAGCCACACCTTGGTTACATGTTTTGTTTGTGTTTCTGGGATTTTTAACAGGTACCTGAATACTACCTATGGTTTTGGAATATTTTAAAATTAGTTTGAGTACAAAGTTCACACAAATGTCTGTTAATGTTTTTCCATAAAGATCTTTAAAAAATGTAATTATTAAATGCAAAACACTATACAACTTGTAATTTCTCAGGTACATTCTTCAATCATGAAGACATTACAAAATGAACAGGAAGGTTGAAAAAAATTAATGTAATCAGAAGGCTGAAGTATTTTTTTTATATAACAGAGACGACGTCGGCTTAAGAAGCTTGCAGAAGAACAAAAGAAAAAAGATCAGACTTTTATGACAGAGGAGGAAGGTAGTTTTTATAATCCTTTTTTTGTTATTAAAAGTATCCAGTTGAATTTGTTTACAGATGCTATTTTCAGCCTTATAAAACTGGCATGCACTGGAAATGTCAATATCCCCCATGGAAGGTTTTTGGTTTCAACCTCCTCCCCCACACTCTAAAAATTACAGCTTTCTTTTGAAATTTTTGCTTTTAAACCCCTCCCTCCCCAAATCCCCTTGGAATTGTCAATGGCCTTCCTTGGGTTGGGTATTGTTTTTTTCCAGAACTGCACAAGTATTTTTTAAGACTGTATCACTGCAGTAGTAAAGGATACATCTGTCTCACATTCACTACTAAAAGTAACGTCCTGTAGACTGAGATGCCTGCAGTTGACTCTACTCAAGGAATATAAATATCCCAATTGAAACCAAAAATATCACCACAAAATGTTTATTACTATTAATTAAAAAATAACAATGAATTCAGGGTTGGCCCTGGGGTATGAGGTTCAAAGTTTTGTGGCTGCTCCATTTCACATGACCTTACCAAGGCCTTATTTGCTGGTAACTGCATTATGGAAGAGCATGGTGCATAATCAATTGCTAATCTCACACTTCTTGAGTTACATATAGTAGCTGCCACATGTAGAACAACTCAATAAGCACACAGTCAGTTGATTTGTGGCACATG